CCCTCAGCAGATAAAGATCCAAATGTGGTGGAATCAAGCTTCTCGGCTCACATTGAAGCTGTTCATATTCCATCTGAAGCTACTCTGGTTTCGATTGCCGACACTATCCACAAACCTCGTACAAGTTCTACCACTACTGAAGCCACCATCATCACTGTTCCTCGAAGGCGTCAGCCCAACCATGCATGTACACTCACTGACAAGGAACTTCTCATTTCACTTCATCAGAAGCAAGACACACATCACGAGTGATCCAATCGCCAGATGCAGACTGTTCTATCTGATATCAATCGCATACAAAACCTGTCTACCAAGAATGCCTTTGTGGCTCATGAACCTTGGCACCATTATTCGAAGAGCCTCACTTTGTTATGCTCTGAAGATGATCTTCTTGTTGATGACTTTAAGAAGAAGTTCAACTTTTGCTCCAAGCCTCCATTAACTGAGCAGTGGCATGCTACTCCTTCCATCGATGATTCAGATTATTCATCATTAGCCTCAATGGTTCATGCTCATATCATTGACGAAGAAGATGATGCCACTTCTCCTGCGATAGTTCACTGCACCAGGATTCTGCGTTAGGCCTTTCTGCTCCACCCCACACCAACATCGACTTGGCTGCAACAATATCTTCACTGCCACTCGGAACGTTTAGATACTCTATGTCTTCAAACCTTTTTGGCCAATCGATGACAAAGGGGGAGAGCATACGAGTTGATAGTCTTCACGCGGGCATATTGGGTTGGGCTTGCTATATTTTGTTAAGTTTGCAACTCTTGTTATGTGTATTCGATGTTTTTGGGTTGTAAACTTAAGTCGTGATGGATGTCTGCTATATTTGCTACCGTTCGTCCTTGCGCGTTATCAGTTCTTAATCTTATGTGCATGAAGTCATTCTGCAGACGCCCGCTTCTCACTGTGCATTACATTACCTTCAAAGTATTCTTTGTATGCACAATGGCTTGACTTCATGATAAAGAGGGAGATCTCCACAAAGTAAAACCTTCCATGTGCATTTGCATTCAAAAGCAAACTACTTATATGCACATCTTCAGTGGGGCCTTTCAACTTCATGAAGCCAAACACCTTGTTCCTTTACTTCCACATAATTTTATCCCGGTTGAAAACTTTAACCAGTTTGTCATCAATCACTAAAAAGGGGGAGATTGTAAGCGCATCTAGTGCCACCCCTTGTTGGTTTTGGAGTATTGACGACAAACTTGGTTAAGGGACTTATGTGTTTGTGAGATTCATAGGAGAACACAGATAGAAGTCCCTGGAGATTCGGCTTACCCATCAATGATGACCCCTAAATATGTGTGAAGACATTGAAGATAATGGTGGTACGCAAAGACTTACACTCTAAGACAAGGGAGCACAAACACATAGTCTTTTGGTAGTTACATTTTCTTCTCTTTAATTCATAGAAACCACCATATTGTTAAGTGGGTCGAGGTAAACAAAGTCAGAAACTAACGTGATCTCATATGTCTTCCAGTGAAGAAAATGAGAGAAAAACTCTTCGAGAGTTGGTTGAGTCAGCATTGCTTGTAGCCCAAGTCAAGATGTTGCATGTGTTTGAAATCCGATTGTTGTACATGTGTCGGTTGGCCACTGGCCAAGGGTCATTTTAGTCATATCATGTTGGGTTGCCTCGGGGCTATAAATAGCCCACCCCTCCAGCATAAGTTAGTGGCTATTCCGAGTTATTGCATGACTTATGTCATTTGAGAGCAACCCATCTCCGAAGCCTTTGAGAGAGAATTCATGCGAGGAAAAAGCCAAACACCCAGAGCCCAAAGTGATTGAGTATCACGGAAGCGTCTCTGTTCTGCGTGAACCGAAGACTTGTTACACTTGAAGACTGTGATCTTCCACACGGTTAGGCATCGCCTTCTGAGCATCCAAGAGTCATTGTGGACTGCCAGTGAACGAAGTCTGTGAAGGTTTGGAAGTCTACATGTAAGCCTTACCTAAGTGATTGGGCGAGGTCTACAGTGAATTTAGCTTGGGGGGGATAAGGTGAAGACTAGGTATTTTGAGTTCAATCCCAGCCTCCCTAACCAGACGTACAACTGTCACAACAACTAGAATTGGTCACACAAATCACATGCCTTCTCCGAGCTATTGGTTCTATTAGTTCACTTCTTTACTTACTGTTAGTTTCATGTAGCCTTTGCTTGCTCATTCAGTTTGAAGACATTGTATGAACACATTCTCTCTGGTTACATATTTTTTGTCACATTAACTTCATCTACTATTCTGTTCTACCTAGTTTGTTGTCTGTCTGCACTTCTCACTTCAATTGTGTCGACATGCCAGCATGCCAAGTGCAGATTATCTTCCGTTATATCTTGTTGAGTTATTGTTTTGCTTCCACGGCTTCGAAGACATTGCCTGTTTAGAAGACAATCAAAAAATCGTTTATTCACCCGCCTCTAGTCGATAACTAGCACTTTCACCGAGACTTCCAGTTTATTTTCTGCCGGCCTGGAGAGGAGACCCACCAAAAGTTTTGAACCATCCGACTCAAGTCATCACACACAAACATAGGTAGCTTAAAAACTCCCATCATGTACATCGGAATGGTTTGACCGACTGCCTTGATCACTACCTCCTTGCCCACTTGGGACAAGGTGTCTCCATTGCATAATTCTCTTGGTAAAACTGGCAAGAAGGCTATGGCATTGGTCCTTTGACATTTGACCCTCAAGAAAGGGAGGCCTAGGTACTTTTCCTCATATGTGTTCCGCTGGATGTGCAATACTGAGCACACCTCAGTCTGATGCGCCACCGTACATGATTCCCCAAACATGATGCTACATTCAGCAAAGTTTATAAGTTGGTCAGTTGCAACCTCATAGGTCCCTAAAACTTTTCGGACCTCCATAGCTTTGTTATTATCTGCCTTGAAGAACAAGAATGTGTCATCCACAAATAACAAGTGCGAGATGCCCGACGCACACTTGCATATTTACAGGGGTGGAATCTTCTCTGTTCCACATCATACTTCAACAATGCAGATAGACCATCAACAACCAACAGGAACAAAAACAGGGGGAGGTGATCACCTTGCCAAAGCATACGCATCGGTGCAAATGAGTCCAAGAGGGTTCCATTGAATTTATCTGAATATCTTACTGAGGTAACCCACGTCATAATCCAGTCCACCCACCCACAAGCAAAACCCACCTTTTGCATCATTTGCTTCAAGTATATCGAGTCAACCTAGTCATATGCTTTTGAGAGATCAAGTTTATGTGCACAAAAACTCCTCTCTAGATTCTTTTCTTGTTGAATATGGTAGATGTACTTAGGATACAAAAGAGCGTTGTCAATGATCATCCGGCCTGGCACAAAAGTACTCTGAGCCGGCGAAATAATTTCATCCAATAGTGGTCTAAACCGGTTCACTAAGCACTTAACAACCTCCTTGTATATGTATGACATTGTAGAGACTAATGGGTCTAAAGTCAGCAAGCTTTACTGGATTATGTTTGATTGCTCAATTTCACATGCACATGCTTATATTATGCCTCATCGCTTTCACGAGAGATGGTACTAGTGAACCTATGAACTCCAGTCCAACTTCCTCCATGAGATGGCCTCCAAACCTCATTTACTTGCACATTTAATTTCAGATAATACTTATTCCAAAAATTCAAAAATACATCATACCACATTATATGTTTATTACTTGTTTTAACTAGCAAAGTTTTCAAGATTGGTAACCTCACTATAATCGTTTGGGGCACAAGTAGGCCACAGTATTATAATACTACTCCCTCAAAGGAGGCACCGTCATCATACCAAAAAAGGCTCTCATCTCCCTTTATATATATATATATATATATATATATATATATATATATATAGAGAGAGAGAGAGAGAGAGAGACAGAGACAGAGAGAGAGAGAGAGAGCATCAAACATGACACATAACTGTCATCGAGACGACACGACCGATCGCACACCCACATAGTAACACACAAAGCAACAGGGAAAAAGAGGTTTCGGTAGGGGGCATCAGCACAACAAGCCCGCCTAAAAGGACTCAGCTGGGGCGCCGTTGTCATCTTCATTACCAAACCCTGCTCCTTTACAATCGCCATACTCCCCCCATTCATGTGTGAGTAATCAGTTGCAGACACATGAGATGGATTGGAATTTTGTGATGCCAATCTTGTAACAGTGCTATCATGTTAGGGGTTTGATTAACTATTATTCTTAATCTATTATTGATACAACTTTGCTGTGCTTAAGGCTTGTTATGTTACTAGGGCATGAATAGAATGAAATCTGATCTGAAGGATTCATCGACATCAACTGTGAGCAACAAGCACAATGGTTTGGTGACCGTGACTTTCTCTTGATGAGGAGGTGAATTGCGGTCCATTTCGATTTATTGCTCACATTTACACCCACATGTACACGTTTAGTATAATGAACAGTCATGATATTTATGGATTTGTCTTCGTCAGATGTAGGCTTGTGTGTCGATATGTGGGCGATTACAGGCGTGTGTTCGGATGTGGAAGCGTGTCGACGTTTGCAATCCGGTAAATGGTCCAAGTTAAAGAAAAAACAACGATCAGTGTTACTTGACTGAACAAGTTTGTCCGAGAAAAATAGTGTACCACTAGCATTTCTGTATCTGAGTTGGTTAAATATTTCCAGTTGCATGCAACAGCTTGTCACAATAAAGGTGGCATCTTCATCTCCTGACCTTTACGAGTGGCATCATGAACTCTCCCCAGCTGCACTAATGATATTTCAGCAAAATCCAACGGGAAGCAAACAAGCGAAAGATTCCATGCACATCACAATTAGCTAGCTAGCCAGCCATGCTTAGCTTTTTTCTGCAGCTCGCTCGATCAGAAGACCCAAAACACTCCGGCAGCATCTAACTACACCACGCCTCACCGTGGGCCAACCCCGCCGGCCGTCTCGCCGGTGAAAACAAAAAGCAACTCAAAGGTAGACCAAGATGGCTTAGCTTGGCTACACAGTGTCCATTGTGGCGTGTTGTTGGCGCCGCCGCATGCCGTCGAGGATGAGGGGCTCGTCGACGTTGTCGACCTCGACGTCGCCGCCCTCGGTCACGTAGCTGCAGGCCACCTCCGACGACATGGCGGCGGACGGCCTCACTGCCCGGAACTTCTGGCGGCAGCTGAAGCAGGTGATCTGGAGCAGCGTCGCGTTGACCTGCCGCACGGCGTGCTCGCGGAGCGCGTGGGCGCGGCTCAGCTCCACCTGCGCCTGGTGCCGCATGCGCTTGGCGCTCGCCAGCTCCTGCTCGGCTAGCTCCCCCTGCCGCTTTGCCTGCGCCCGTGCCTCGTCCGCGGCGGCCTTCTCCGCCATCGCTTGCCGCAGCTCCTCCCGTGCCTCCTGCATTGTCCTGGCCGCGCTGCCACCGCTGGGCCCGGCCACGTCTGTCCTTCCACGGTTGTCGCCGCTGCAGAAGCCTATTGAAAGCTGCAGCTGCATGGCGGCGTTGTCTCCCTGCGAGATGGGCGCCGGCGGTGACTGTGGCGCTGCGTACCATGACGGCGCCACGCCCAGAGGCGCAGCCGCACCGCCCGTGCAGCTGCTGGACGGCGGCATGAGCTGCAGCTCAAGATTGTGCCCACCACCGCCACGGCCATCGGGCGGCGGCGTCCGCGGCGACGGCAGCTGCTGTTCGAACCGGTGGAACGCGGCGGCGTTCGGACTGCGCATTGCCGCGGCGCCGGGCCAGGTCACGGCGCTGATGACGACGTCGCTGGACGGGCTGGTGCTGGACGCTGTCCGGGACCGAGACAGCGATATCGCCGGCGGCGGCGCCTGCTGCTGCGACGACAGGGCGGCCGCCACTCCACCACACACCGGCGCTGCCACGCCCGCCCCCGCCTGCGGGCAACCGGCGGTGCACGTGTCCTGGTGCTCTATGAAGCTCTCCACCCTGCACCACATTTCGACGAGCCCGCCCATTAGTTAGAGAGAGGGCCGGCCACGAATAATCACATCGACGATCGAATCGATCACAACAACACTGCTACACGTCTGGTCAAGAGGAGCATGAACTAGTAAGACTGAAGATACCAACAGCGAGCGAGCGAGAAAAGAGACTTTATTGCATGTGCTGAAAGGAATTTATGTTGCTGCCCGGCCGCGGGTCCAAAGGCTTGGATCTACATGGAAGAGAACGCAGGCTGGTCACAATGGGCAAGAAATAAGCTAGTAACTTACACACTTTCCTAAACTATGTTACTATCTTCATAGTGGATAGAAACATCTATGTAGTGTCATGCAATGATGTATTTATTAGGTTATAGACTCATTGTTTCTTGGAGTGTGTGATGTTCCGGTAACTTAGCTAGTTACCACAAGCACCTCCCTCTTCATTAAATATGTGCCACATAAACAAAATTGTATTGGAGTGTGTGATGTTACTCCTAAGAGCAAGTACAATAGAGCTTAGTCAGCGGGCTATAAAAATAAACTAGTATATTTCTGCTTAGTTGGAAGAAAGAGAAGAAGAGAGAGAAGGTAAGCGCGTGAAGAGCCAGCTCTAGCACGTGCTCCTAGGCACTTTGTGAGAATAAAAGGTGGGCCACATAATAAAAAAATAGTATACTTTTTTATCTACTATTATACATGTTAGCTATAAGATGGGTTGTAGATGACATGGCACTGGCTTATAACCAGCAGCTGGCTATACTATTAACCGTGCTGTAAGTTCCTCCCCATTGTGACGAGCCGCAAACGCCCACCAGTGCCATGACTTGTGAGCAATATTATTATATTGCGATCCAGGGCGGCATGGATCGATCGTAGGCAGCAATTGTCAGGTAGCAGCAGCAGTGCGAGTATGAGATTTTGGCCCCGGGCGGGCTAGGTAGGCTAGGCTAGCGTGCGCAGATTAAATGGGAGCTGCTGCCGCTGTTGCAGCGCTCGCTCGCGTCCGACGACGGACGCAGAAACAAATGCGCAAGCAAGCAAGAAACCAACGGAGGTGTGCGCACGCAGACACAGGGAAAGGGGCTGCTCTGCGCTCCCCCTCGGAAATTGTGCCCTGATCCGCACCCTCCGATAAAGAAAGAGAAAAGGAAGAAGAAGTGAGCCCCAGCCGTTTGCCGTGCTGCAGAGAACAAAGAAATCCTTTCGAGAAAGAAAGAAAGAAAGAAAGGGGGGAAGGAAATACATCCGCCTTTCTGTCCCGCATTGAATCGGATCGAACCGGCCGGGAACTGCTCTAGCTTGCTTGCTTGTTGTAAAGAAAGAAAATGGCGTTCGGTGAGTTGGAGGGGTGGTAGGGAAGAAGGAAGAGAGGTTGATTGTTTACCGGGAGAAGACGCGGCCGCAGTCGCAGGAGTGGCCGCGGGTGCCGCAGGTCTTGAGGTGGGCCTTGTAGTCGGAGTGGACGGCGTAGGCCTTGGAGCAGCGGCTGCAGGCCCACTGGCGGTGGCCGCTGTGCTTCCGGCGGAAGTGCTTCTTGATGCCGACCAGGTCGCCCAGGGCGTGGGAGGGGTCGTGGTGCAGGCAGCTCGGCTCCGGGCACACGAACACGCGCTTCCGCGCCGCCTCGCCGGCCTCCCGCTTCAGCAGCTTCCACGGCACCTTGTGCCGCCGCCGGTGCATCTGCAGGTTCTGGTCGCGCTGGAACCCCTGGTTGCAGATCTCGCACACGTACCGGTCCGACTCCAGCAGCGTCCGCGGCGACAGCGACACCACCTCCGCGTCCGGGTCTGCCGGCGCATGCAGCATCAGTGTCAGTGCCACTAGTATTTCCACTCCACTATTGCCGAACTATCATGCAATTAGATCATATGCAATGGTGTACGGTGCGTACCTGGTGTCCCGGCTGGCCGGCGTTTCCTCTTGGTCGCGGGGGAGCCGGTGGCGATCTGCAACGACGACCCGAACGGAGGCTCCGCCGTCTCCTCGTCAGTAGGCGGCCCAGCCATCGGCCCGCAAGAACCCAACATGGTTTCCTTGCCTGCAACTCGCTTGGAGAGGAGAGAGAGAAAGACTCCTCCTTTCCTTTCCCTCTCTAGCTCGCCTGATCAAGAGAGTCTATCTAGACGATGGAAACGGAATGCGTTGGGCTGCCTATATAGGGAGGGAGAAGAGATCAGCCAGATGTGGGAGAGTGGTAATTGGAGGAAGGGGGGCTAATGATCTACAACAACAGCGAGCGTTTGGAAGGAATTAAAGGTGGAAAGGAGGGAGGGGGAGGGGGAGGAGGAGGGAAGAAAGGGTCTTGGAGTTGGCTTTTGTGAGCTGCTACAGAGACAACACCAAAGGAGGAGAGAGATGAGACGAGAGGGAGGAGGCAGGCAGCTTTCCACCGGCTTTAGGTTTCAGCAGCTTTCTTTGGGATTATATGGGAGAGAAGAGAGAGGGAGTGAGAGGGGGGAGAGCTGGAGTTGGTAAGTACTTCTGGGGTTTGTGCCTTAATTGTCCTTGCAGGGTTGGAGCTAAGGACAGGAGGAAGACGGGGAGGAGAGGGGAGCGAGGGAGAAGGAAGATGCATGGCTGGCTGGCTGGCATCTCAATAAATTAAGGACTTTTTAAGGGAGTTTGCACAGATGGATGGATATACGTTTGGGGTAGCTTGCAATCGTTGTCTAGCTAGCCACGCACAAAAGAACAAATGCTAGGCAGAGAGAGAGAGAAGAGAATACTGTACAATGAGCTTTAAAAAACTATGGAATGAAATTCATCCTAAATGAACATATTTTCTCTCTCTTCCACTATAGTACTATTTGGGTTGCCATACTCTGGGCATGCAGCGGGGTGTTGTTAAAACAATAAGATCTTCTCCAACATAACCGTCATATGGGGAATGCTTGCATGCATCAAGTGATTCTATTCCACCAGGTAATGCTAATACTATAAGGGTTAGTTTATTTATAGCAAAGGAACTGGTAATCAAGCTGCCGAATTTCTGAGTAGCTATTTGGGTCTTGTGCACTTTTGTTATTCCTGTATTTGGAACAGGTTGGCAGCACTTCAGGGACAAACTGGAGCACTTGCTCTTCTGTGAGAAATACCCATTGCAAATAAGATAATTTAAACGCTGCAGTACTATGTACACTTGTAACATTTCATATGAAAAATAGTTGCACCTTATGTGAACACAATTTGAGGCTAAAACCTATTTATTCAGATCATTTGCCTGTTTTAATCTAGTCTGCTAAAAATACCCTTCAATAAAATGTACTTATATATGAACGTTTGTGTTCATTGTTTTCTAAAGATTTTTTTCATCCGGAGGAATTGAGATGCTAATCTATTTTATTTGATATGCGGCGATAATAATCATACTTAAAAATGTAGCTCCTTATACAATTGGAACAACTCTGTATGTATAAGCAATTGTGCGAACTTGTATTATGATCTAAGAAGAATAAAATAAATACTCCCTCTGTCCTAATATATAAAAATGTTTTTAACACTACACTAGTATCAAAAACGTTCTTATATTATGGAACAGAGGGAGTAATAGATATTGATTGTGTATCCCTAGCTGTGAGCTTGTGATAGAGTTTTGCGTCATTTCAAAAATCTTGCAACACTTCACCGCTTACTTCGAATTTTATGGCGGATTACCCTATATTATTGTCTTCCCCAAACTAACAAAAAAGGATTATTTCTTTTTTGCGGGGAACATAAATGATCCATTTGTCAAAAAGACATGGAAACTCAATTCATGCCTATTTTTTTGACACAGTATAATCATAGATACTCACATACACAAGCACTTTTGTCAGGGTCTATGCAATATGACGTCATATCAATGTGGCATAATGTTTTCTTTCTTCCCGAGAAAAGAAAAAGAAAGGCTGCTGGGTGTTTAGGGCCGGCGCCAGCGCCATTCTACCTCGTCTCCTGTGGCCTTAGAGCCATGGAGACCCAGCGAATCCTAGCTCTTGACGACGGGAGGGTTCATGCTTCGTTCTTAGTTTTTTTTCAGTCTGTTTAGGCTTTGTGTCCTACTTAGGAAGGCGAGAAGGCGATGACTCCTTGAAGATGGAATAAGGTTCTCCCCGCCTCCCCCATCCCGACGGTGCATATCGCGTCGCTGGAGGGCATGTGAAGGTGTGGATTCGGCGGATCTTGTGGGACTCGGTCGGTTTTGTCTTTGGTGGATCTGTGTGTATCCAGTCTTCGTTCGTTCGTGTTCATGTGTCTACATGTTGGATTCTTCCGATCCACGCTTCTCTTCATCGGCGACGGTTGCTAATCTGGTGCACTGGTCCATTGGGTTTTAACACGATGAATTCCTAGCAGTGTACTACAACATGGTTTGCCTGGATCCGGCGAGGGAGGGACGATGACGGTGGCTCACCTTTGGCTTGCTCCAATACTTGTATTTGTTGCTAGGTGGCCTATGAACATGAATGTAATTTTTTTTATTTACTTCTCGTGGTCTTTGTACTACCATGATGTTTGATGAATAGATTGAAAGTTTTGCCTGGAAAAAGTTTCAATGTGGCGCAGTGAGCCACATTGTTGAACAATTGACATAATTTCATACTCCCTCCGTTCAAAAATAGATGACTCAACTTTGTACTAATTTTAGTATAAAATTAAGTCATCTATTTTGGAACGGAGGGAGTACCATTTATCTAGATTTAACAAAAATTGAGAAATCTAGTAAGCTCCTAGTTAATATGTGTCCGAGTTATTGAGCTACCACGCCGTTCAATATCCATATAATCTACCCTTTCAGTTTGGGAAAAGGAATAAAATTGGTAAACTGCACCGCACATGATTACTACAACTCCTGCCTCGTGTGCAGGCACAGGAACCGTACCGGCCATAAATATTTTACCAGGCTGTTACTGTTTGTACCTTGACCCATGGCGTGTAATTAAACAAATAAAAATGTTTGTGTTGTAGCATGATTAAATTACACTGTTCCCAAATCTCAGTGCCCTGATTAGCACCCTGAGATCCTAATGTGCCATCTTTTGTCATTCTCCCGAGAAGGATCCGAGCCTGGTGGTAGATAGGAATGATTGATTTGGAAGCTTATGCAATTGATTAGCTAGATTGCTTAGATTAATTAGTTAAGATATTTTATGCCGTGCCAGTTAAGTACGTTGCCGCCAAGCTCCAAATGGAAGATCTTCTTGGTGCTCGAGGCAGACCAAGTCTGTTTTGTTCGTACGTGATCTACGTAATTGGACTTCTTGACTTGTTTGCTGCTAGTTTTTCTGTTTTTTCCGAGATGGCCCTTCCCTGGTGGAGCTACTGTGGTGAGAATTGTATCTGTGTTTTTTTCCTTGAAATATATGGCGTACCCTTGTTCTTTTAGCATTATAAAAAAGGGAGTGCCTAGAACTCATCTAGATAAGATATAATTTGGTCTCATTCACTTTGAAAACAAGAACAGATACAACCCACATCAGCATACACGCATCTTATAGCATCACATCCAATGGCTATAAAAGGTGAATGAGACCAAACTATATCTCATCTAGATGAGTTCTAGCAAAACTGTTTATTTTCAAATCATTTGAAACACAACAAATCCACATAAATTGCTAGTACATTTTTTATACAGTTTTGCTAGAACTCATCTAGATGAGATATAGTTTGGTTTCATTCACCTTTCATAGTCATTGAATGTGATGATATAAGATGCGTGTATGCTGATGTGGGTTGTATCTGTTCTTGTTTTTAAAGTGAATGAGACCAAATTATATCTCATCTAAATGAGTTCTAGGCACTCCCGAAAATAAAACAGATTAGCTGCTTCATGTCTTCTCTTGCAAAAACAAAACTGTAAAATTCTCTTGTTATTATCTGCACATCTCAACCTTGAAGAGTCCAAATTTCAGCAATAACTGCATGATAATGTTAAATGATTAACAGATCTCGTAGATGGTTGATGGATGACTACGTAGCCTTTTTTGGTAGTATAGGTGTACTTGTGGATGTGAACCTAGCTAGCCTTGCTGTCCATATGTCTATAGGCAAGGAGTACTCTCTGTACGTTCAAAAAAATAGGTATTTCCTCTGTCCGAAAATACTTATCATCAAAACGGATAAAAAGGAAAGTATCTAAAACTAAAATACGTCTAGACGCATTCTCTTTTGTTCATTTTGATATTTCTGGACAGTGGGAGTACTCTTTTGTACACGAATTTAGCAAATTACTGCTAGTAGGGAGTACTGCTTGCATAGATTTAGAGATTAAACGGTTGTTCTCTGCTTGAATGAACCAACGATCTGATCCAAAGATAAAAACCACATTAACTTCTGTCAGAACAACACTAGAGACAATGGCTATTAAGAGGACCAGTAATTATGAGGTTGTTGAACACCAGGCCAGGCACACAGTTGCTTGCTCCAGGATGCAACATGTGTATCTCATTACATTTTGGTTCTTGATTGGCTGGAACGTACAATCCTGTACAAGAATAAATTACTTATCTTCGCCAAATACTATTACTCATTTATTATTTCTTTCAAAATACTGTTGCCATGTATCCACTGATTGGCAAACATCGTTGTTGTTCTGTGACGACGATAACATCGTTCATTTCGCCAATATACTTTTTTTTTGTAAAGGCCGGATCTATTATATAAAAAACATCATAAGTACAAAGCACGCCAAATATAATAAAAACTACATCTTGGACACTGGGCTACTGAAAGATCAGTATCGCCATCGAAATAAGCCGCGACGCACCGGTGTCAGCGCACCCCTACCGGAGCGAGCTCACCTTGTCGATGACAGCCAGAAAGTCTGTGTGCACGTGCCCCATGGACCAACAACCCAGAGTCGCAGTGGCCGCCATTGAACCCTCGAATCAACCAGAATTGCATAAGGGCATTTCCATCGCGAAGTATTCAATGCAGCCACAAGTTTCTCTATGGCTACCTTGTTATGACTTCATTGCCGTTGAAGACCACATTGTAGAATGCGCAATAAGACCACCAAAGACCTTTCTGGCACTAGTCGTACACAGAA